ATAACTACTTCCTTCACTGCAGGAGGGTGTCCACAGCCACGCCACCGTCGAGCACAAGAACTGACTGCACTTCAGACCCAGCGCAAGAGCAAGGTCTGCAAGGTAAACCTTCTTCCCCTGGACGGGGCAGAATTCCCAGGTCCACGGCAGCCCCTGTCTTCCCAAATCTTCCAGAAACAGGGAGGGAAGATAGAAAAGTTAACTCCAAGCCCCTTTTCCCACAGGTTTCCACTGCAGGTCAAAGCACTAAGGAGAACTTCAATGAGACTTCAAGCCTCCCAGCGAATCTTATCAACCATCTTTGACAGGATCCAATATTAGACTGTCACTTTGAGATACAACTCCTGCTGCAGTAAAATTAATTCCAAAAAAGAAAAACAGGTTGAAGAATGAGACTTTAACAATGAATTCACTGTTAAATAAGCTTTTACCCGGATGAATTCCGACCGAAATACTGCCAAAAGAGACACACAAACAGCCTCTCATCAGCCCTCTCCAGTGTAGGCAGACCTGCCACCAGCTCCACAAACAGGCGGAAGACAGGGACCTCCAGACATACCTTCAAACCACATCTTTAAATATTTCGAAGGCTGCAAGTGGCTGGTACAGAGGGCACACAATCCTATCTGTAGGATAGAGGAGGTCACCAGGCCACCAGGAACTATGTGCCCACCTTCATCAGGCCCCTCAACTACACTACAGATGGAAACCACACTTGTTTGTTCTTCTGTGGGCCATGCACCCAGTCATGAGCTGCTAAGGTCAGATTTGTCCCTCTTTTTCACACACAGAGTTTGCAGTGCTGTTCAGTTCTCGCTTCTGTGAGCCTATGTGTAATCCAACTATTTAAACAGAAACCTGAATCAGTTGCTCTGATAAGGGATTTGAAGCCCACAAATGTAAACGCTTTATAATGAACTCTCTCTCTTAACACATTCAAAACAACTTGGAATTTCTTGGGATAAAAATTCCATTTCAGGGACTTCCCTGGCGGTCCAATGGTTAAGACTCTGCACTTCCACTTCAGGGGGCTCGGGTTTAATCCCTGGTCGGGGAACTAAGATCCCGCATGCCATGTGGTGTGGCCAAATAATAAATAATAAAATTCCATTTTAAATTAGGAAAATTTTCTAGACCAAGAGGATGGAAGCAGACTTCATGCAACTATATAAATGCAACCAGCATCGAGCACAGAAAACAGACCCCCCCCCCCAAAAACCACCATGAACCCCTAGACCAAGAGGATGGAAGCAGACTTCATGCAACTATATAAATGCAACCAGCATCGAGCACAGAAAACAGACCCCCCCCCCCAAGAACCACCATGAACCCAACAGGCCTTTCTCCTCTAAGACATCATCATCAGAACATGTCCCCCACTGCTCTTGAGAAAATGCCCTCTGCCTGTTGTTTCATCTAGAGACTGGATACACGACTGGTTCTCAACATTCAAGTTATTTTTTTTAAAGGGTTTGGTATCACAGTGAACAACAATGCAATCCAGTTACGGAAGAATGCACTACTGAAAAGGCCTTAACAACACATGTCCAAAACTTACAGTTTCCAGACCAGCACTTCCTCCCCAGTGATCTGCCCTTTGAACCTGCCTTCAAAACAACTGCTCCACACCCCTATGGCCAGCTGTCATCACAAGGGCAGGCGCAGAGCAAGCACACGTTGGCCCCAACCCTCACACCTGCTGAGGGAGTCATTTCTGCATCAAGTGTTCCTCAGCAGTGGCTCCTTGCTCCATAGTCACAGAAGTGAAGTATCACATGGGATTCCATCAAAGCCCGTTTCCACAGAAGATACTTCTCAGGAAGGGACAAAGTGTAGGGCCAGTGGAGGATCTCCTCACACCATCAACTCGGAAGGGACCAACTTTGTTTGCTCCCTCATTTCTGCAGCACTTCCCAGTTCATTACACACTTGCCCTACGTGCACCCAAACCCCGTGTAAGGTGGCTCAGCAGACAAGGGCACAGATCGAAGAGGGGGACCCACCCAGGAGCTGCCTTTTCCTCCTCCCCAAACCTGCGCTAAACGCAGCCTAGACTGTGTATACTGACTCAAGTCTCAAGTGCCACCGCCAGTCCACCCCACCCCCCCACCCCCGTCATTGTAACCCATTATCCTGTAGTATGTTCTCCATTACACTTATCATTATATAAATATATCTTACATATCTTATTAAAAAAAAAAAGGGCAGCCTAGAGGCCAAGTCCTGCTTTGAAGAGCTGCCCAAGGCCTCTTTTCAGGTCCCATATCGCCACAAGCTGCTGCTGTGATCCTTCTTATAAAACGCATGTCAGAAGAGTAGAACAAACCTACACTTCCACCTTTTATTAGTATAGGGACCTCACCTTGCCACCTCTGGACTCAGCTCAGTAAGTGCTGTAGGGGCGACACAAATACATCACACTGCACGAGGCCACATGAGAAGCTCCCCAAAATGGTGTGTGAAAATCAGAACCCAATTCTTTCCGTGTTCTCTGCCTTCCCCACTGGTTTCCCACACAGATGCAGCCACCCTTGCAAAAGCCACCCTAGAGTGTGCAAGGAACCACTCTCCCTAATCAACAGTTTTACCTTTAACAAAATCATTGCACAATTTTTTAAGAAGCAAGGATTCCAAACCTCACCCATTCAGAATATCAGCCCTCAAATAAGGAGGGACCAGAGACTCTTTCCAAACAGCTGCTTTCTGACAGTGTGAGGCTGAAACAGGCTCCAGGGGTCACAGAGTTCAGCCATCTGCCCAAAGAAATAGCTAAGTGTGCTGTCCTTCCACGAGAAGGTGTCCCTCCTGCCTCCCACACAGCAGTCCGAGGACATGCACAACCCCCAGGAAGACGTCCTGGGCAGTGGTACTGAGGACTTCCCCAGACAGAGGACTGCGACCCTCCCTCAGGGCGCCCCTCCCAGGAGGGGCAGGGTGGCACCCAGGCCTCTGCCATTGCTGAGACGTGGGTTCAAACTGCACTCTATGTATGAGGCGGGTACTTAATCTCTCTGCACTGTGGAAGCTGAAGTTTCTGCACCTGTAAAATGGGATCGACACCTATCTCACAACACTTTTGACAGAAGTCAAGCAACATGGTGTGAGCTATCTTGCAAAGTGCCTGCCTTGAAGTAAGTGCTCAATAAATGGTTCTGACAGCCTCTGGCTCACCATAGTACCAAACTGGGCTGGGCCATTTCCAGACTTCCCAACTCATACTGCTCCCCCGCTGGCTGTACACACGTAAAGAGGGAAAGTAATTGGGACAGGGCCTCTCCTAAAGTGCCACCTTAAAAATCCAGGTGCAAACTCACTTGAACAGTGCAAATCTATCTGTCCCCAAATGAAAAATCCACTACTGGGGGCATCTTTGCCATTACTGATGGGAAATACAGCATATTCTCACATACATGTGGACAAACGTAGCTGATGAAAACACAAAAGCCTAGCTCCTCTCACTTCCTGATGGGGAGGTCCATCCTGTATTCTGTAATTCATTTCTTCTCACTGGATTCCAGTCTTTTTGTACTAAAAAGCTGCCTTCTGCAAAGAAACTCCAGATGTCAAGTGTCCATCACATGGAACTTCCAAGACTATGACACAATATGCTCTTTTCCTCTTCCCCTCTACGCCATCAGAGCGCACACCTTGTACTGCAACAGCATCACTGTGTGAAAGTTCGTCTTACAAACTTCCATGATCACTGTCAGCCCCAGCCGCCACTGAGGTCCGCCAAGCAGCCTAACTCGTGTTTTTGCGCGTTAGCCCAGGCACCCCGCGGTACAGCCACACATGTCGCAAGAGTCAAAGGCATCCCTTGGCCTTTCACCATTTTTCTCAACTGAACAGGTCCTCCTCTTCTCAGACTTCAGAGTATCACCCATCTCTACAAACCAGAGTTCTCAACCTCAAGTCCATGGACCAGCTCCAAAAGGATCAAGAGCATCCTGAAGTAACTACAAAATTCAGTAAAGCCGTGCGGTTTTCTCAGGAGGGGACTCAGATCTTGCGTCAGACTGTCAAAAGGGCCCATGACCCCTCAGAAAGATTAACAGCCGCTACCGTGGAAAATAAGGGGTAATGTAAATTTCTTGGGTCTTCCCTCATTTAAGGGATTTGGCTTTTGAACCAGACTTTGCAAGCGGTCTCGACATTCTTCCATTCTTCACATTCGCATACAAGGTATAAATCCTTAAACCATCTTCCCAAGACTCCCGAACTTAACCGAGGGCAAACATAAAAACACTAGGGATACTTTCAGCAACAGAGAGAAAACACAGAAACACTAACGATACTTGCAACAAAACATTTAACCCAACAAGTGCTTTATCTCTTTCCTTCCCCCTAAAGTCCCTCCGCCCGGTCAGGCTCACTTGCCCGCGGTGGTGGTTTCAAGCCCGGCCTCGAGGAGGCTTCCCATCACACTAATGCCGGTGCCGGAGCGGAGCCCCAAGGCATGAAAAGCACCGAAACGCTGCCCCACCGGGCCAGGAAAGGAGCACATCCGAGTGTATCAGACTCCACCCCAACCGAGAATTCGGAGGGACCCGAGCATCAGGTGCTTCGAGCAAGAACTCGCACGTCCCGCTTTCGCCGCGAGCGAAGGCACAGGGACCCCGTCCCAGGTGAAGGCCCGAGGCGGTTCCTCTGCAGAAAGAACGAAAGGTAACCCCGGAGGCCTGACTCAGGCCGCACCGCGCCGAAAACAAACTTTCCAAGCACTTCCACCGCGACGGGCCGGTGACACCTCCCCGGCCTCCCCCGCCCTCCGCGCGCCTGTCAGCGCCCCCGCCGGGCCGGCGCCCGCGTCACCCGGGCCAGGGTTTCCTGCAGCAGCCAAGCGGCGCCCCCACGGCGCTCACGGTCCCAGGCCCGGCCGCTCGCCGCAGGTGAGGCGCCGCCCGGCCCCCGGGACCGCGGGCCGCCCCGCCGGGCCCCGGCGACCGCCGCGCTTGGCAGGGTAACGGGCCGGCGCACCCGGGCGGCTGCCGCGCACTCACCACCTGGCTGGTGGTCCTGGCCATGGGCCCCGCGCCTGCACGGCGACTCCTCCGCAGCGCTGCGCGGCTCGGCGCCTCCTCAGCTTCCTCTTCCCCGCAGCGGAGCACCAGCAATGGCCGCCCGCATCCTGCGCCCGCCCCGCGGCCTGCCGCCCCCATAGCCGCCCCGCCCCGGCGCAACGCCAGGCGGGACTTCCGTCACGCCGCCGCCACTGCCGGCGCCCATTGGTCACACTCGCCGTCGCTCTGCCGCTGCCCTGGTCAGCCCCGCCTGCGCGTCTGAGCTGCATTTCCGGGTTGGGGCCCGGCAGGCGGGAGAGGCTCGGCCCCGCCTCGGGCGCGGGGGGTTTGGGGGGAGCGCCGCGCGAGCCAATCCCAGGGCCGCGGGGCGGGGCCGGGCGCGGGACCGGGCGAGCTGTCATCCTGGCTGCCAGACAGGAAAACTGAGGCTCGCTGGGGTCGGCCCCGAGGCGGGAGTGGGGCTGGGCCCCAACCGTGCAGCTTCGACTCCGTAGCGGGGCTCTGAGTAAACATCGAAAGGATGTTCAGCAACAGTCCCAACGCAGCCAAAAATTAATTAATAAAAAGGCAAATGTAACCCCTATCCCTCAGAAGGCTCCCACTGTTTTCTTTTTATTATTATTCATTTATTTATTTCTGGCTGCGTTGGGTCTTTGTTGCTGCCCACGGGCTTTCTGTAGTTGCGGCGAGCAGGGGCTACTCTTCGTAGCGGTGCATGGGCTTCTCATTGCGGTGGCTTCTTCTGTTGCGGAGCATGGGCTCTAGGCACTCAGGCTTCAATAGTTGTGGCACACAGGCTCAGTAGTTGTGGCACACGGGCTTAGTTGTTCCGTGGCATGTGGGATCTCCCCGGACCAGGGATCGAACCCATGTCCCCTGCCTTGGCAGGTGGATTCTTAACCACTGCACCACCAGGGGAGGCCCAGGCTGCCGCTGTTTTGATACTCACTGTTTTCACTTACCAGTGTATTATCGTGTACCCTGTCTAGCTCTCCTGATATCTGATCGCTGCCTTCCTCAGTTGTAGGGGCTACAGAGGACCCCACTGGAGGAAGCCTAGAGTCTATAGATCCATGTATTGATCAAGTTCCCTCCTGACACTGAAATGGTTCCCAGACTTCTACCTCATGAACAAGGCCCTGCATGTCAATCCAGGCACATGCTTACTTCTTCCCTTAGGATAAATTCTTAGTAGACGTTAATTGCTGGGTCAAAATGCCGGTATCCCCTTCAGGACTTTTGCTGCAAATTGCTATTTGCCTATCCCACTCTGAGAGTGAGACACTCTCACCCTCAGGGGACACAAAGACAGGTCCAAAGTAGACACTGCTCTGGCTCCCATACCAAGCCATATCCAACATTATACTACGTCAATAACTACTACTGCATATTAAGAGCAGTGTATTGGATTTTGCCTCAAACAATAGGTACTACGACCATTTCCATTCTTCACGTGAGGAAACCAAGGCTTCAATGACTTTGTTACTCTTGGTCACAGAGTTACTAGGTTACAGAGCACAGGACTCAAAACCAGCCCCGACCAACACCGACGCCCTGCTCTCGGCCACTGGGCTCAACTGCCTCCCAACAACTCTTATTTTCTATTTATTTCAATCCTCACAAAGTAATAATACCTTATCCTCAAAGAATGCTAACCACTTTTATCTTCTCGCCACAACCTTGAGATACTCAATGTTTATTACCATCTTACAACTGAAGAAATTTGCCAGATACAACGTTAAATGTGAATGTAAATATACATATAGCTATACAGTCTAAAAATATATATCTTGGGACTTCCCTGGCCGTCCAGTGGTTAAGACTCTGCACTTCCAATGCAGGGGACGTGGGTTCGATCCCTGGTCAGGGAACTAAGATCCCACAAGCCACGCGGCATGACCAGAAAATGTGTGTGTGTGTGTGTGTGTGTGTGTGTGTATCTCACAAGCACCCTTTCTCAGAAAGTTACTGAAGCATGAGCTCCACCAAATGAGGGGTAAGCACACAGGTGGGCAATAAAGGGAAGTCCCAGGAATTGTCCATTCAACAAGCATGTATTGCACCTCCCCTCCATGCCAAGCACTGTGGCAGACATTGGCAATTCATAGGTGAACAAAACACAAAGATCTCTGCCCTCGTGGCACTCTGATACCGCCGGTGGGGTGCCGGGGGGGCAGCAACCATAATAAATAAGCACATCTTAGGTAATAAGTTCTGTGGGGAAGAAAGAAAATCAGGTAAGTGGGGCACAGGTGTGCCCAGGGAGAAGGTGCAACTGAAATGGATAATGGGGAGAAATCCCAAGGTTCCTCAGGCCCAAGAGAAGTGAGCAGGCTTCAGAGTGCTCCCCCAAAATAATGAAAATGATAGATTCTATCATGGGTTTCACCACATTAAAAAATTGAATTAAGAAGCTGACAGACAGGGCTTCCCTGGTGGTGCAGCAGTTGAGAGTCCGCCTGCTGATGCAGGGGACACGGGTTCGTGTCCCGGTCTGAGAAGATCCCACATGCCGCGGAGTGGCTGGGCCCGTGAGCCATGGCTGCTGAGCCTGCGCGTCCGGAGTCTGTGCTCCACGACGGGAGAGGCCACAACAGTGAGAGGCCCGTGTACTGCAAAAAAATAATAAAAAAAAATAAAACCCAGCAGACTCAAAACTCAGAACCAAAGCGAGCGAGGTGGGTGCAGGGCTGGGCGGGGGGAGTGAGAGTGTCCTTGGTGCAGTTCCCCTTTGGGGAGATCTGGAGATGATGATGGGGATGGTTGCACAACAATGTGAATGTACTTAATGCCACTGATCTTTGCACTTAAAAATGGTTAAAATGGCGAATGTTACATATATTTGACAAAACAAACAAACTCCAGCAGCTGCCCCCACTCCCCAAATAAAATCCAAACTCCCAGGCCAACTGCAAGGCCCAGCTCCCCACGCTGTGGTTCCACTGAAGCCCCCAGGTCACCTCCTCCTCCAGCCCTAGCATCCATCTGTGTTCCATCAACACACTAAGCCTGTGCACTGGGCCTTTGTGGGGCAGTTCCCTTTGCTTCCAGCCCAGCATTCGCTCCCACTCTCCCTGGTGTCACTCTTGCTGACCACCATCTCAACTAGCCTCTCTGTGATTCTCCACCCAGAGAGGCAGCATGGTAGCAGGGTTAACAGAGGCCCGGCAGCTGGGCAGGCCAGGCCACGTCCGCACCCCAGTGCTCACCAGCTCTGGGACTTGGTGCCCCCGTTTCCCCAGCTGAGAAATGAGGATGACAAACAGGAACCCCCTTTGGATCGTGGACAGAAGGAAGGAGTACTAGTACACGCTAGAGCACTAGGAGGCCTGGCACTGGTGGGTACTATAAAAGCTCCTCCCTATTGGGCTCCTGCAGGTGGTCCCCATCCCAGGCTATCCCTCAGGCCTGCATCACATGGTTGTGGTTGTTCTTCCCAGCCTATTCACCATCAAACACAGCTGGGACCTGCAACTGTTTTTGTCACCTTGGGCCTGGAGACACTTCCTTTAGTGGCTCTGAGGCAGAGGCAGGAGGGGCAGTGGCCCGGCCACGTACAATGGTGCCCCATGACCTCCTGCACCAAGGGCTGCTCCCTTTGGGGTGCCCACCCCGGGACCCAAATGGGCGGAAGTCAAGACAACAACCCCAGACCTGGGGCTCACCAACAGCTGTGTCGTGGCTGTCCTCAGAGCCAGTAAGGCCCCCTACAGCCCACCCACCTTGCCTCAAAGCTATCCTACTGGGCTTCCCTGGTGGCGCAGTGGTTAAGAATCTGCCTGCCAATGCAGGGGACATGGGTTCGAGCCCTAGTCCGGGAAGATCCCACATGCCGTGGAGCAACTAAGCCCGTGCGCCACAACTACTGAGCCTGCGCTCTAGACTCTGAGAGCCACAACTACTGAGCCTGTGTGCCTAGAGCCCGTGCTCCACAACAGAAGCCACCGCAGTGAGAAGCCCACGCACCGCAAAGAAGAGTAACCCCCGCTCGCCGCAACTAGAGAAAAGCCTGCGTGCAGCAACAAAGACCCAGTGCAGCCGAAAATAAAATAAATAAAATTAATGAATTAAAATGCAGAGATTAAAAAAAAAAAAGCTGTCCTACCCAGGAAGCCCAAGAGCCTGTGCTCCCAATGTGGGGGGACTGTTGCCAAGGCTGAGAGGACACCGGAGGCTGCAGGATGACACTAATGGACAAACACAGTGGCAGGGTGCAGGATACACACCGAGGACCCCCAAGCTGCCTACCAGCACCAGGCAGGGTCACCCACAGCTGTGTAAACACCAGGGCACAAGCGGATCATTTTACCCACTCAGGAGCTGGGTCAGGAAGTAGAGCTGTTCAGAAAAGAAGCCAAAAGAAATGGAGCCTCAATTATCCTGAGGGCTCAAGGCAGTGGAAACTCTGGTTGGGCAAGTTGACCGGGGTCAGCCCAGGGGCCCCAAGGCCAGTGCAGATTCCTCTTGAAGGTCGGAGAGGAGTGCCCGGTGCTGTGTCCAGGTCCAGCGCTGTGGCCTTGGGCCTCCACTTGGCCCACCCAACTCAGGGGTGCAGAGAACTACCCACAGGACACCCGCACACACCAGCCTCCCAAACCCTTTGCAGTGCCCACCCGAGGCGCCTCCTGTCTTTGGCTCCTCCCAGCCTGTTCCCTAACTTGTCTCCATGACCATTGATCCATTCTTTCCTGTTAAACATTCCAAGGTGCACCTACCCTTTAGCTTAGCCCCACAGGCAAACTGCTGAAGCCGCACAATCACTCCCCAAGCCCCTTCCTGCCGGATTTCCAGCCTGTAGTCCATGGCTTCCCCCTCCTGCCCTCCATTCATTTTCAGCTAGCTCATCTGCCTGTGGGTCTGCAGGACTCAGACACATCTGTCTAACAGAGAGAGGGGACCTGCTGCCCCCACTGAGCCCCATAAACCCCACGGGCAGGGTGGGGCTGGAATCCGGCCACTCCCAACCCTGAGCCACAAACACCAGCCCCAACCACCACCACCAACGGCCACCAAGGTGAGGACAGTAGCAGCAAAAGCCCCACTTTGAAGCAAAAAACTCAAGAGACCAGGCGAGTCCCGACGGGGCACATGTTTATCCAAGCCAGCCGCCTCCGGGCCGAGGCCCCCACCACTCTCTGGAGACCAGTTCCTCAATGGCCCAGCCGACAGTGTCCAGCTGGAGTTGGGCATCCCCTCCAGCAGCGGTCCTCAGTCACTGCCTGGCTTCTTCCGCCTGCCACACCAGCTCGCCCGAGATGTAGGTGGCCCGGACGTGGAGAGAGTCGTCGAGCACCACAAAGTCTGGGTCAGAGGTGGGTGGTGAGAAGCAGGCAGGGGCAGGGCCACCACCGTCCCAACCCCAAGGCCCAGGTGCAGGAAACCGAGGCCCGGCACACGACCTGGGCAGGACATCCCAGCCCATCACAGACTGAGGCCCCAGAAGCAAAACTCCGGGCAGCAGAGAACAGCCAACAATGTTCCCGCAGACCCTTGCCTGGCCCATCTCAGATGCCAGAAGGCCTGGCCTGCCAGATGGGAAAGGGGGGCCAGACCGAGGCCACTGGCCAGGCAAAGCCACCTAGGCGAGGGGAAGAGCCCACCTCCTGCCCACCTGCCTCCCTGGCCCTGTCCCAGGCCTCCCAGGAACCCCCAGGCCGCCCCTCATTAGGCGCTGACCTGCATCGGCCCCGAAGTCCAGGGTCCCCTTGTGCTTCTCCAGGCCCAGCAGCTGTGCAGGGTGCAGGGACGCAGCCTCCAGGGCAGACTCCACGCTGCAGCCTGCTCAGGGAGCACAAATGGGTGACTACCCCCAACCTCTGGCTGGCTCTGCCATTTGACTTCAGGGCAGGCAGGGCCGGGGGTGGGGGTGCAGCGGCAGAGCACCAAGTCCTGGGTGGCCTCATGATGCCTGGGGTTCTCCTTTCTGGACGGGTGCTTTCCTTGGAAGCCAAGGGGAGGGGCCTGCAGACATTTGGGTCTAGAGCATTTTGTCAGTGAGGTCCCTGCAGGGCTGGGATGGGTGAGTGGCAGGAAGAGGGTACTCAGCAGGGTTCCCCTGCCAGCCCCAGAGCTCCAAATACTAAGGTCACACCCCAGGACTCCACAGCAGGGTGACGAGGCCCTCCCCTCCCCCCAACCTGAGGATACTGCTGGGTACCCCAATTCTCTCCATCCCCTGCTTCACCCCCCAAGCCAGGCAACAGCTGTCTGTGCCTCCCAATTCGTCTCCCTGCGGCTCCAAACAGCACGTTGGACCATGGTGCCCCCCACCCCCCTGCATGACATCCCAGCCCCAAGGCAGTGCCAAGAGCCCCACAGGGCCTGGCCCACCACAGCCTCTGCCAAACACACCCTCCTCACCTCCCCAAGAACATGCCAACCCCATTGAGAGGCCCCTGAGCAGCCCAACCCTGGAGCCTGGAGTGCTGCCCCCACCCCGCCGCCCTCCACAGCTCTGCACCTGCCAGTCCTGCAGTCCCACAGGCCCCAGGCCAAGGCACTGCCCTCGGGTGCTGTGGCTTCAGTGCCTGTCACTGTGGGTTCCAGCCATCCGCTTGCTCACAGCCCTCTCCCTCTGCCATGAGATCCTGCAGGCGGGACCTTGGCCACATTCCTAGTGCCCATCCCCTGGGGACCCCACCAGACACAGACAGGCTCTGGTGGTCCCCACTCTTCCCTCCAGCTACTCCCAGATGTAGCCTCTGCCCCAGCACACACTCTCACACACACACACGCACACACACACGCGGCACACGCACCCCAGCCTCACTAACCTGTGGCCTGCAGGAAATGCCGGACGCAGGTATCCATTGGGGCTATGCTGCCACTCAGTGTGTTGGTGCCTTGAGAGCAGAAAAGGCAGGTTCTGGGGAGGCCAAGGGCACCAGGCACATTGGGCCACCCGAGGGCCCAGTGGGTCGGCAGGGGACACCCAGATTCTTATATCCCACCAGAGGGGCTGAGAGGCTATCCTCACTCCGGCAGTCTTCGGGACAGGGGTCACTCACCTGCCACGTAGGCTGTCAGGCCATCCACCTCCACCTCCTGCTGCCCCAGTGTGTGACGGCCATTGCCCAAGCCCAGGGCAGGGACAGCATCAGTGACCAGCACCAGCCCTGCAAGGGGAAGGGGCCTCAGGAGCTGCCCGGCCTGGTCTTCCTACTGGCTCCCGCCCTGTATGGCCGCTCACCCTCGGGGTGGGCCCGGTGGGCGATGCGCAGGGCGGCAGGGTTGGTGTGTATGCCGTCAGCAATCATCCCGTAGAAGATGTGGCGGCCCAGGGGCAGCCGATCACTGGTCAGGAGCCCCACGATGCCTGGGTCACGGTGGTGGAACTGGGCAGGGGCAGGCGGGGGGCGCTGAGCAACAGCAGGACCCCTGCACCCTCCCGCCAGGAGCTGGGGTGGCACTCACAGGCAGCATGGCGTTGAAGAGGTGGGTGATGAAGGTGGCCCCGCTCTGCACGGCTTCCTCCGCAGTGCCCAGGTCAGCTACTGAGTGCCCTGCGGTGACCCAGACTCAGACTCGGCACCCAGCCCAGGACCCCGGGTGGGCTGGCCCCCAAGGTGATGACACCCCCCCTTACCTAGGGACACGCAGATGCCAAGGGCCGTCAATGCCCGGATCACCTCGTGGCTGCGGCCCAACTCGGGGGCCAGTGTCACAATGCGGACATTGTCCAGGCCCCCATAGGTGGCCAGCAAGTCTTGGAAAGCATTGGCCTCAAAAGAACGCAGGTGGGCCTCGGGGTGTGCGCCCCGCTTCTCGCGGCTGATGAATGGGCCCTCCAGGTGCACCCCTGGGGGGAGGGGAGGGGATGGTTCCAGCAGGCCCCCTGCCCTCCAGCCCCCACCCTGGCCCCTCTTGCCTGCCCGCCCTCCCTCCCCAGTTGGACATTGGAAGGCAAGGGGCTGCCAACAGGTCCCCAAGGAGCCTCCCAGGGTAGGGGTGGGGAGAGGGGTCAGCCACTCACCGAGGACCCCTGCCCCATGGGGACCACCACTCTTCACGGGGATCTGAGGAAGGACCTGGGGGGAACCAGCTGTTAAAGCCCTGCCCCCCAAGGCCCAGCACCCAGAGGTCACAGCCCAGTCAAGGTCAGAGGTCAGAGTTCAGAGCCCAGCCCCTGTTGGCCTTCCCTCAGGTGTTAGAAGATGAAGGCCCCAACCACGGGAAAGCACAGCACACCAAAAAATGACAGGTGGGCTTCCCTGGTGGCGCAGTGGTTGAGAGTCCGCCTGCCGATGCAGGGAACACGGGTTCGTGCCCCAGTCCGGGAAGATCCCACATGCCGCTGAGCGGCTGGGCCCGTGAGCCATGACCGCTAAGCCTGCGTGTCCGGAGCCTGTGCTCAGTAACTGGAGAGGCCGCAACAGTGAGAGGCCCGCGTACCGCAAAAAAAAAAAAAAAAAAAAAAAAAAAAAATAAA